TTTTAAGAAATCATGTTGACCAGGAATTATCCCAAATGCCTTCACTTGATTTAAGTCCTTTAATTATTTTTCAAGACTTCAGGTTGGTCAAGTATTCTTCTGAAGATCTTCAACCGTCCAACAATTCAAGTCACGATCTCAGAAATGTTTTAAAAGTATCAGGTAGACCAGAAATTATTCCAAAGAGCTTCAGTTGATCAAAGATCTCCATAAAGTCCTTTGGATATTATTTTTAAGACTTCAGGTTAATCATATATTGTTCAGAATATCACCAACTGTAAAACAATCGAAATAATGTCTCTCAGATATTCGTTCAAGATATCAGATCTGTAAAGTTTTCAATGCTCTACAAATTGGAAGAAGGTTTAGGACTCCAGTAATAAAAAAAATCATACAATTCTGGGGATAATTCTAATGGATTTTTTTAGGAGAATTTAAAAAGCATTTAAGTGTTAATTCAAGAGAAATGCTCAGCAGAATAACTCTTTGTAAATTTTTTCTAGACTCGAGGATGATCATAAATTGTTCTTAACACCTCCAATATTCCATCAATTCAAATCCCGTCTCTCAGATATTGTTTTAAGAAATCAGGTTGACATTGAATCATCCCAAAGGCCTTCACTTGATTTAAGATCACCTTAAAGTCCTTAAATTATGTTTCAAGACTTCAGGTTGGTCAACAATTCAAGTCACGATCTAAGAAATGTTTTAAAAGTATCAGGTAGACCAGAAATTATTCCAAAGAGCTTCAGTTGATCAAAGATCTCCATAAAATCCTTTGGATATTATTTTTAAGACTTCAGGTTAATCATATATTGTTCAGAATATCACCAACTATAAAACAATCCTAATCATGTCTCTCAGATATTCGTTCAAGATATTAGATCTGTAAAGTTTTCAATGCTCTTCTAATTGGAAGAAGGTTCAGGGCTCCAGTAATAAAAAAAATCATACAATTCTGGGGATAATTCTTATGGATTTTTTAGGATAATTTAAAAGGAATTTCAGTGTTAATTCAAGAGAAATGCTCAGCAGAATAACTACAAAATTCTGATAAACATCCTAAGGGAGTTCTGACCAGATTTCTAAAATAATTCTGAAATAATGTCACAAGGAATTCTGAGATGAATTTCATGGAATTTATGGGAAGAATCAAATTTCTGATTTGAATTACTAGATAATTCTACAAGTAATTCCATGGAAGTTGTGACAAGAACATCTGATTCTGAGTTGAATTTTATTGTGATCATGAGAAGATTAGCGAGTGAATTTTTAAACTAATTCCAAGAGAATTTAGGCGAGAATTCGAAAATAATCATTAACAGAATTTATAGGGTGTTCTTAAGATAATTTATAAAGAAATAAACTCTGGTGGATTCCTGAAGATATTTTTCTAGTCCAGTCTAGTCTAAATACTGAAATTCCCGAGGAAAATTTTGATTAATACTTTGAGAATACTTTCAAAGGAGTTTAATTCTCAGCATAATACTAAAGGAATCCTACGGAGGATTCCGAGGAAATTTCAAGGGAATTTCAAAGAGAATTCCAAGATACGAGAAGAGTTCTAAAAGTATTTTCTTGTGAGTTTTTAGAAGAATCCCATGATTATTCTAACCAGAATTCCAAGGTAATTATGGAAACACTAAATTGTAAGTTGATTTTAAATAAATTAATAATAAACCATTTGGAATAGTAACACATAAGTTGATAAAGTTGAAATCTGCATGACTTAGAGATCATGGCAATTTCAGAAATTCATTTTTCACAAACTTTATAAACTTGTTCATTCATAAACAATAAGAAAATATAATTGATCATATATTCAGATTTATGGATTTTACCGGTTCTCCCGTTGAATTACCATACTTTGATGGATACAGCCGCCGACAGTATATGAGCAAGTCAAACGCGCACTCTTTTGTCTGTGGATTGGAGCAGGCTTGCTGAAACTCCTCAAACTCACTGGAGGTTTTAAAACACTCTTGTCCTACGAGTTTAGCTAGCTCTCACCTCGAGTGAGTGGCGGCAGGAATATGGAAGAAGTAAACAAAAACTCCTCGAGAGAGAGGATGATTTGACGTGAGGTGCGCTTTTCGAGACTCCGGATGACTTTTTTGTTCGACGCAAGAAGCTCATAGTTCACCTAGAGTGAGAGTAAGAGCGTGTGATAGAAAGCATGAACAAACAGCAACAAACTCTCATTTTATCCCCCTTCGCTCACAAGCTCTGAAGCTCAGTGGAATGATTTGGCAGTAGGCATTCTACTCCTCAGAAAAATGCAACGCTCGGATCATTTCAAACTCGCGAGTGAGGCTCCATCAAGCCTGTATTTGAGGAAAAACCACAAAACCACTCATCCATCAAATGAGTTAGGCAAAAGAGTGCGCATTTGATTAGTATTGGCCCTTCGCTCAATTTCAACATCTGTTCATAAAGGGTGTACCACATCAAATTGCATCACGGAAAAAAACGCTGTACAAAATTACCTAGTTTACCGATCCTTTTCAAACATTCAGACTATAAAATATAACCCATTAGTAAGCGTTCATCACGATTTGGAGCCTTCTGCACTTTGTACGTATGCAGTCTCTCCCGGGCCTTGGCTCTCTGAACGAAAGACTTGGACAGATTCAACATGCCTGACCGAAGCATTGGGATTCCACATAAACGCTTCCACGACACGCTTGTGATCACTAATAGAACATCCATTCTGACCGCATTTCGCCTTCCGTTCGATACTCAGAGTTTCGTAGTATCGTTTAATCACACGACTCACCGTTGACTGCACGATTCCGAGTTGTTTTCCGATGTCCCGATAAGAGAGTTGAGGATTTTCCAGGTGCTTGCGCAAAATCAATTCACGACGTTGCTTTTCGGGTGACGCCATTTTTTCCAACTTTCGAAAACCTGACAGCGATAAAAATACAGTGTAAACAATACACTCTAAACTACTTCTACCCAAATTTTCAAGAGAAAATACCCAATGGGTAATTTTCTACAGCGTTTTTTTCCGTGATGCAATTTGATGTGGGACACCCTTTACTGAAGTACTCTAAATTCGTCAAGAGTGAATAATTTTTTTGGTCTTTCTCCTCACACAGGAAACTGCACGCATGCCGATGTAATTAAACTGCATTCGTCGTAGACATAGGTTGTTGTTTGTACGATTTCAAGAAGTCCATTAGAGATCGCGCATCGTTCGTCAAGAAACGAGGAAAAACTACAAATCCTAACAATTTCGGATGGTTATTCCCTTTGTCGGAGCGCAATGCCGCGCCATTTGTGTCTGCTTCACTGTGGGGACATTGAAGTAGACACAGATTTTATGGATATTAGTACGGGTTTTTTTGCGGTTTGTGTGGACATTGAAGTAGACACAGATTTTATGAATATTAGTTCAGTTTTTGCGGTTCGAGGCATTCGGTAAGAAATGCAATAAAAGCAGTTGAATTCGGAAGGTAAAAAATAGAACGGTGAGTGATGTGTAACGAGTTGACGATAAATTAAATTCAAACGCGTTGTTCGCGTCAACTTGAGACAACCGACAACAGCTACAGTGATGGCCATTAGAACGGATCAAAATAGCGATTTTACTCCACCAGGCTCAGTTGATTTTGAATCCGGTCCAGATTTGAGATTATTTGAATGCGAAGTCATACTGCACTGGCCCTTTGAAGATTACTATATATGGGAACTAATAGGGGAAAAGTTAGCTTTATGTTCTCAGCGTTCTAGTACTTCGTCATTGTGATTTAAGAAAAAGTTTTCTATCTAAAATTTCATCAGCTACAACTTTGTTGCAGACCACTTTTTGACTTGACTTCAAGGTAATTAGTTAATAATAAATTTAAGAGTCGATAACTTTCTGATATGATTTATCGACTGCTTTCAGGGCAACACTGCATCTTGCACCGCGCCAATGTTGCCTGCTGAGCAGATTATGGAGCATAATTTATTAATTAATAACATTTATTATTAATTAATAACGAATTCAATTCAAATACGGTCTTGAGCAAAGTTGCAGTTGAGAAAATTTTACATGAATACAAAAATTTTCCGCAGATCATTACAGTAACGGGCTCACAGTTGTTTCAGCAAATGTAGATTAACAAATGCCTTAAGTTAGACATTCTGAACAAAAGTAGTATTTACTTAGCAAATGTCTCGTTCACCACTGTACATCAAGTGCGTACCAACATCATCGTTGTCATCGACCGGTGAAGGAAAGTCCGATGGCGTCAAGAGATTACATACGTCGTTGTTAAAGAGAGGAGTAAAGTTGGGGGATTTTTTGCTACTCCAACGTCTTGCTGTGTTGTAATGTACAGTTTTAGTTAATTGTTTATAGGCCAATAATAATAGGGCACAGCTATGAACAAGCCGACTGAGGAAAACTTTCCATTACTGCTAGATGCAGTGATTAATGTAGAAATCAAATCAAATTACGCTTTCCAGTGAAATGGAATTACGTTACACCACAGCGACACTGCCTACGAGATGATGTAATTAATTAGTAGGATAGGAAATTTAAACAATCTGCGATCCCGGTAACCCCTAATAAACCCAGGATCAACAGGATTTAGAAAATCAGGATTTCACAACTACTAGCAAATCAGCCGATCAATCCATCAAAACTGTAACGCTGTAATTGATCAACTTGTGAAAATGCTATCGTCCGCATACACTTCTACCATAAACGCCAATCGGAGCTGCATCGGAGTCACATACAGAGAGAGAGAGAGAGTATCAACTTGTGGCAAGTGGCAATAATCAAAGCAACGAACCCCAACCAAGCAGATTTGTCACGTGCCATCATTTCGCAATAAATTTACCGTACAAAGGTATCAGCGCTAAAACCTGATCTTGTCCATTTTCTTGTCCGGAGTTTACGCATAATCTATAATCTACTTTCCTGCGAGAAACCACACGGCACACCAGCGAGAAGAGAAGTATGTCATCGCGTTGACAGTGGTATTAAAAGTGAAAAATCGTGGGCTCACCTGTTCGAGCACCTCTTCTAGCGGTCGTCCGTTAGACTGGATCAGGGACTCGATGGCGGGTATCTCCTGGCTGATTGCACACTCCGGTACGGCGGCAGCGGTGGTGGTGGCGGCGGCGGCGCCGGCGGACGTCGACGAGGACGAAGATACTCCGCTGGTCGAGTTGTTGTTGACGCCGGACGACGACTGTGACGAACAGGTCGTTCCGATGGACTGATCAAGCGAGGTATTGCTGGAGCTGATGTTGTTCTGGCTGGCACTGCTGGCGCTGCTGTTGTGAAGGGCATTCTGGTGCTCCCGACCCTGCTGCGGGTTGGACGGCCGGACGAAATACTGCTTGACGCCGACGATCTGCGGGGAAAATCGAGAACAAAAGAGACCATGAGCATTCAAATCGTATGGCTGATATGCATATCAGACATTCAAATCAACCCAGTTTCGACACAAATAACCTCAATCGCCGATCCGAGGGGGCAATCATAATCTATATTCAAATCAAATCTGTCACGGGTAATTGAAAGATTACGGTCCTGATGCAGTATCTAAACAGTGCATGCAAACAAAGGGAGGTACGGGTTTGAAATGGAACGTCAACTCGAATAAAAACATCAATCATGACAGCTACCTGGTACTATCGCACAGCTAGCAGCCATGAACGATTATCACCGAGAGGACCGAGACCAAGCACACGAGCGTAGATCAATCGATCGATTCCGTTTTTTCACCCCGGCCTGAGGTGATTGGATTTTTTCGTAATCCTGTCATTAGAGGTTCCCGTTGAAAGCATCAACCTCCGCAGTACGTTCGCGGACAGATCTTGGATTGTAATTTGTGTGTCGATGAGACGCTCTTCAGTATAGCACTTCTCTCAATCGCTGGGCCACAGCACACTGGCTAATAAGAAGGCAACAAAAAAAAAGGAACGGGGATAGACGATCGATTATAAGTGTGATTAAATGCGATGAGCTACTGGAAATTATTGGTATTTTTTTGTGTGTGTGTGTGTTCGCAACTTTGATTGGATCAAGCATCTTCGATGACCTTTTTTGTTCCATCACTGGCTTTTGACATCATGTGCAACGATCATTATTGGATGGGAATGGGAGGAGAGAAAAAACGAGGCTTTATCGTTACACTGCAAGTGGCGTAGCGTTTTGCATAAAAATAGATTGAGATAGAAAAACGTTGATGATGGAAATGCGTAGAACTTCCTGGATTGTAATGCCATTGTTCAAAGCACCTTGGAGATTGGTGCATGACGTGCAATTGAGGTTTTGATGGATTATGCTCCGAAGCTTATGTGCGTCATGAGCAGTTTTCTCGGAAATTGCTGGTCCCACATTTAGAGAGCGCATTCCTAGCGCCATTTTGAAAACTAAAGTACCAGATTTGAGATAGAAATGGCTAGCAGAGAGTTAACTACATAATATCCCTTGAGTCTTCCAGGTTTTTCAAGGACCTCAACGGAAAATTTCCAGGTTTAAAGAAAACTAAAAAACGTTGAAAATATACTATTTTGAGTAAAACAATAACTCAAGTGCCACTGATGCTTATTTGTGAAAGAAACATTTAACGTAGACAGGTTTCGCAACAGCGAAGTGCAAAATCTTGAATAAATCAAAATAAATCGAGTGATCTGGCTTAGACCTTAGAAATGGTTGGTTGGTTTTCTTTTTTTTTTTTTTTTTTTTTTAACTCTTTATTTGTTCCAAATTCAAAATAAATTACATTTCATTTTTAACCTAGGTGCTCCAGTTACTACAGTAACTTACCAGCCTTAATTGTTATGATATATATCTAAGTGTTTTTACATTGTTCCTGTCTTGGCAATTCAGTATTTTAAACAGGTTTTTTAAACCTGCATGTCAGTATAACAATTGATAGCTTAAAACTAAATAACTAAAACTAAATCTTATCTAAGTATAAAGGGAATTAATCGTTGCAATTGAGGATTGTAACGATTTTTGCCGGAAATTATTAATTATTTTGTTGGACATTTGTGCTAAAGTCTCAACATTCGAAATTCTATGTACTTCGGTAGTACTGTACCAGGGAGGCAACTTCAAAATCATCTTCAGAATTTTGTTCTGAATCCTTTGAAGTGCTTTTTTCCTGGTAGTGCAACAACTAGACCATATTGGCACAGCGTAAAGCATGGCCGGTCTAAAAACTTGTTTAAATATTAGAAGTTTATTCGTCAGGCAAAGTTTGGATTTCCTGTTAATAAGAGGATACAAACATTTTATATATTTGTTACATTTGGCTTGAATGCCCTCAATGTGATCTTTAAAAGTTAATTTATGGTCAAGTATTAATCCAAGATATTTCACTTGGTTTGACCAGGAAATTGGAACTCCGTTCATAGTGACTATGTGACTACTACTAGGTTTCAAAAAGGAAGCCCTTGGCTTATGTGGAAATATTATAAGTTGAGTTTTGGAAGCGTTGGGAGAAATCTTCCATTTTTGTAAATAAGAAGAGAAAATATCTAAACTTTTCTGAAGTCTGCTGCAAATAACACGAAGACTTCTTCCTTTAGCGGAAATGCCTGTGTCATCAGCGAACAAAGATTTGTGGCAACCCTGAGGCAAATCAGGGAGGTCCGAAGTGAAAATGTTATACAATATAGGCCCAAGAATGCTACCCTGAGGAACTCCTGCTCTAACAGGTAGTCGATTAGATTTGGAATTTTGATAATTTACCTGCAGAGTTCTGTCAGTTAAATAATTTTGAACTAATTTCATAATGTAAAGTGGAAAATTAAACTTTTTCAATTTAGCAATCAAACCTTCATGCCAAACACTGTCGAATGCTTTTTCTATGTCTAGAAGAGCAACTCCAGTTGAGTGGCCTTCAGATTTGTTTGAACGAATTAAATTGGTAACTCTCAAGAGTTGATGAGTAGTTGAATGCCCATGGCGAAATCCAAACTGCTCATCTGCAAAAATTGAGTTCGTATTGATGTGAAGCATCATTCTATTCAAAATTATTTTTTCAAAAAGTTTACTTATTGAAGAAAGCAAACTTATTGGACGGTAGCTAGAAGCTTCAGCTGGATTTTTATCCGGCTTCAAAATTGGAACAACTTTTGCATTTTTCCATTTATCAGGAAAGTATGCCAAATGGAAACATCTGTTAAATAATTTTACCAGGAAAGACAAGGTACTCTCTGGGAGTTTTTTGATGAGGATATAGAAAATTCCATCATCACCTGGAGCTTTCATATTTTGAAATTTTTTAGTTATAGACCTTACTTCGTCCAAATCAGTCCCCCAGGAATCATCAAAAATATTTTCCCGAGAGAAAATATTCCGAAAATCCCGAGCAACCTGATTCTCAATAGGACTAGTAAGACCCAAACTGAAATTATGGGAACTCTCGAATTGCTTAGCAAGTTTCTGAGCTTTTTCCAAATTTGTGATCAAAATTTTACCACCTTCTTTTAGCGCTGGAATTGGCTTTTGAGGTTTTTTCAAAATTTTTGTGAGTTTCCAAAAGGGTTTGGAACTCGGGTCTAATTTAGAAATATTATTTTCAAAAGTTTTGTTCCTCAGAGCAGAGAATCGCTTTTTAATTTGTTTTTGCAAATCCCGCCAGATAACCTTCATGGCAGGATCGCGTGTTCTTTGAAATTGTCTCCTACGGACATTTTTAAGACGGATCAAGAGCTGAAGATCATCGTCTATTATAATTGAATCGAATTTAACCTCGCATTTTGGTACTGAGGCAACTCTTGCTTCAACTATAGAAGTAGTCAGAGATTCAAGAGCATAATTAATTTCATCTTTGGTTTGCAAAGGAATGTTTGGATCGAAGTTATATTCCATAAATGTTCGATATTGCTCCCAATCAGCCCTATGGTAATTGAAAGTAGAGCTGTTGGGATTAGAAATTATTTCTTGGGATATTTCAAAAGTTACTGGAAGGTGATCAGAACCGAAGTCAGCATGGGTAACCAATTGGCTACAAAGATGACATGAATCAGTTAAGACCAAATCAATAGTTGAGGGATTTCTTGCAGAAGAAAAGCATGTTGGGCTGTTTGGATATTGAATAGTGTAATAACCTGCAGAACAATCATCAAACAGAATATTACCATTGGAATTGCTTTGAGCATTATTCCATGAGCGGTGTTTTGCATTAAAATCACCAATAATGAAGAATTTAGACCTATGACGGGTAAGTTTCTGGAGGTCACCCTTGAGAAAATTCTTTTGCTGGCCTACGCATTGGAATGGCAAATAGGCAGCTATAAACGTAAGTTGTCCAAATTTTGTTTCAACAGAAACTCCCAAAGTTTCAAAAACTTTGGTTTCAAATGAAGAAAGTATTTTGTGTTTGATTCGTCTATGAATAATGATGGCAACGCCACCACAGGGTCCATCAAGACGATCATTTCTATAAATCAAGTAATTTGCGTCCTTCTTAACCTTATGGTCAGGTTTAAGGAACGTTTCAGTTATAACGGCAATATGCACGTTATGAACTCTCAAAAAATTAAATAGCTCGTCTTCATTATCTTTAAGAGATCGAGCATTCCAATTTAAAATGTTTAATGCTTTAAAATCCATTACTGAATTTTAAAGTTATGACAATATTATTAGCAAATTTTACTCCAGTTTGAATAGCATCAAACATGGAGTTAGATTTAAGCATATCAGAAATCATGTCAATTAATGAATTCTGTAAAAATTCCATTTTAGGGGCAGTAATGCTTCCTAAGTCAAAATTGTCAAAATTTCCGTTAGAACGTTGGTTAGTATTTTGATTTCTACCCGCTGCAATAGCAGCATAGGTAGCTCCATTAACTCGCTGAACATTGTTAGCAGCGAGGGGAGTAGGTACAGATGAAACATTTGAAGCAGGGGTGATATTTGTACCTACGGGTACGAATGTAGAATTTGTTCCTCGCTGACCGTTGTTAACAGCAGAGGAATTTGTACCTGGTCGGAAACGTGGAGCGTTTCTTACCTGTCGGTTAGAACGAGATTGTAGGATCGCTTTGCGAGTCTTACATTCCCAAAAATTGGATTTGTGGTTTTCACCACAATTTGAACATTTAAATTTCTTAGGATCTTCCTTCACAGGACAGTCGTCCTTTGCGTGAGAGGAATCACCACAATTCATGCATTTAGCTGGCATGTAGCAATTTTTAGTTCCGTGACCCCATCCCTGGCACTTACGGCACTGAGTGAGGTTTTGGAAATTTCCTCCAGTCTTCCTGAAGTGTTCCCACTTCACTCGGACATGGAGCATAAGGCTAGCTTTTTCTAAGGCCTTAAGGTTGTTTAGTTCACTAGACTTGAAGTGAACTAAATAAAAATCATTAGAAATCCCGTTGCGCGAATCGC